TAACGAACTGACTTTTATTTTTACTGAACGAAGTTAAAGAAATAGTAGAACAAGCCATTCATCGAGTCTGTGTTAAGTTACTAAGTAAATTTTGTGAGGCTATAAAGTTAGCTAAAAATGAAGAAAGTATGTTGGATAGCCCGGATTTCATCAATTCTGTTATTAAAAATAAATCTGCAATTAAAACAAGTATCAAAATCACAACGGGGTTTTAAAAGCCAGTGCTGAAAATTCCGTTAGCACAGTGTCCATCAAAACTCAAAGGATTACTTTACATATGAATCTTTGGAAATATTCTAAGCCTCAATTATGGGTACAAAGTATATTAGAGTGCATCTTGCACCTACAACACTACTTCCTAAACCTTCTCTGTATGAGTAAAGTAAGGTATCTCTGATCATTTTATTTAATGTTTTATATAGTTTTACGTAACATTTGGTCATTTGCAGACTGAGTGTCTTGGACTTAACAAAACGATGCTCCAATCTGTAGAAATTTCTTCTTTGCGAAATGAGGCATTTATCGAATTTAAGGAATATACCCTCCTCGCAAATTGTTCTTTAATAGGTTACAGCGAAGAAGATGGTATACAACACCCCCAAATGAAGGAGAAGGTAAGAAAGGAGTACTATAGGCGTGTGCGTCTCGTACTAAATACCGAGCTGAACTAAAAAAACAGAATATCAGTCATAAACAACTTGGCTTTCCTTGTGGTGCAATACAGCTTTAACATCCTTAATTGGACCATATCAAACATTAAGCGAATGGACGCCAAAATGAGAAAACTTCTCAGTTGCTACCGTATGCCCAAAGCTGATGTTGATCGTCTATATGTGCCCAGATCCGAAGGAGGCAGGGGATTAGTTCAACTAGAATTGTCCTACAAAACTACAATTGGCCTTCAAAGATATCTGGAGATTACAGAAGACTGGATGATGATATGTGTCAAAGAACATGAAAGTAGTAAGAGTCTTTATTCTGTAATAAAAGAAGCCAACAAATTCAAAATAGAGCTTCAAATGGATTCAGCAATACAAGTAAAGCACAATACACCGACGCTGTAAAATACATAAAAAAGAAAGCAAAAGCAAATGCAACCGACCAGATACAGAAACAATGGCAAGATAAACCGCTCCATGACCAGTATAAAAACCGAGGCATGACAGAGTGGGCCAATATCTGCATTGGAAAACCTGCAACTTCTACGGGAAGAAAACTGAAAGAAATTGGTATGAACACCACCCAGACCCGGTTACGAAGATAGGACCTGTTACAATTTTATGGGATTACACAATACACAGAGACAGAACAATCAAAGCCAACCGCCCAGACATTGTTATTAGAGACCGCAAACAAAAAAAGGTGCCTCCTTATTGATATGGCAGTCCCTGCCGACTGCAATGTAAAGATACATTGCAGTCCGCAGGGACTGCCATATCAATAAGGAGGCACCTTTTTTCAAAAAGATATCAAAATACAAGGACCTTGAAATCGAAATCTCAAAAATGTGGCACATGGGAACATCAATATTCCACGTTATAGTTGGAGCTATCGGATTGGTTTAAAAAATTCTAGTAGACTAATTGAAGGGATTCCTGGAAGCCCATGCCTTAAAGAAATACAAAAACATTTTCTCACGAGTACAGCCCACACCTTACGAAGGGCTTTGTCTATGCATTCTTTTTTTCCTGATTCCATTTATAACCTTAGGTCTCTGGTCAGGACACAGAAAGAAATGTTTACACACCAGAAATCAAAGAAAATAAAATAATAATAATAATAATATAGTAGACTTCGAGATAAATCTTCAGTGGTGCATATGAAACGAAAAGTTATGAATCCATTTCCCCCACCTATAGGTTAAATAGTAGGACTTGTATCGGGAAATGGTAAATGAAACAGAAATACTTTTGATAAACATTAAAATTTTTCTACTGATAAAAAAAAATATCAATAAATTCTATATCGATATCAAGACTGAATTTCTCAAGTATTGCTGTATGGGAGACGCTTTATAAATATCTTTGTCGTCAGCGGATATTAGTCTGTTAGGGACTGACAATCGTCTCGAACCCAGGTGATATATATTGATATATAACCCCAAAACAAAATGATTAAAAAAATGTTTTTTATTCACACAAAAATGTAAAAAATTTAAAATATTTTATACAAGAAAATCGATTTTTAATTTAGTTTTAGGGAGTTAAATATAAGGATGTTAAGATTTATCATTAGTATTTACATTTAATTTTCGTTTCTTATACTTAATCTATTTTCATCGTTGAAATATCTTCCAATGCAAAGTCATCACTCCTAGGAAGGTTGTCTCAAAGCATTTCATAGTTTCAAATAGATACCCGGTACAATTGGGATGTGGCTTAATGCTCCCCTTCCATACGGTGGATAGATTCCATTTTTTTCTTCTTTGAAAAAGAAAATCTTCCTCTTAGACATTTTATTTCGTGCAATTATCGCTGGAGCTGAGGTGCCCTTTTAGTATACGACTGCTTCTTGTAAACAAATAGTCATTTTTTTTCACGTCATTTGAATCCATATCGACAAGACGCCATCTCATCAGACAGCAGTGTAAAAAGTCAATAAATCATTCCTTTCTAGTTTTTTTTCATAGTAATAGGCGTATTGTCTGTAGACAGATACTACCGGGGAAGCCAGTGCTATAAGAAAGAATAGTAAAAGGTTCTACTCGTTTCAATCTTTTTCTTGGACTATATTTTCTCTGAATGCCTCTTTGAAATTTCCATTTGGGAAGAATATTGGCGTCCGACCACTTGTCGTGGATTCTTAGCAACGGAAGCAGCAGACAGAATCTGATATTGATGAACTGTCTTGATTTTTTCCGTTTTTCTTCCTATCTTTTCATGGACATTTTGAAATACAAATTCCCTGGAAAAAAAAGAGAAAGTACAAAATATAAGAATAACTCCTATATACGAATGGAACCGATAAGAGTTCAGCACCTGCTTAGAATGGAAGAATTCACGACTAATGGTAAAGCGAGATAAGCTTATCAATTAACACATTAACTTATTTTGGGTTTTAAAATAACCGTAATAAAATTTTTCACCTAAGATGTTTTAACACGAAATCAAAGACCTTTCAGACCTTCGTTTGAGAGCTTTATCTGACGTCACAGACCTCGTTGCTCATACTAAACAAGATAGGCAAACAATTATGGATCTGTTTTCTTGAACGTCTCGTCTTTAGGGCTTACTATCAATCGCAAAAAAAAACAAAACAAAAAAAAAACAGGGTCACGTGTACAGCGCTTCCACGTCGCCTTTCATCTGAACCCAATATATTCGTTCAATTCACAACATTGGATGCTATTGATGCATTCATCGACCTTACCAACACATTCTATCGGAGGGTTTTCTCGATTCTAATATGTATCTAAGGATCAAGAAAGCTTGCGAAGTCTTTGGGAAACTAAAGCAGTCAGTCTGGTCAGATGAAGGCATGAACATCATCATCAAATATAAAACGTGTGTGCTATCCCCCTTTTAAACTCTCCTGAAACATGGACAACATTTGTCCTGGGTATGACGATAAACTGCATCGACGTCCTGGGTAAGACGATAAACTGCATCCAACGGCAAGGCCTTTAATCAGGAGGTTTTGAGGAGCGTGGAACCACCTTTTATTTGCCGGTGTTTCCAGGTCCATCCTGATCCGAGGTGGTAGTACCTGTTTGAGTCCCAGCTATGGGCAAATAGTTGACCCCCACAACCTGATTCAAAACACTATGAAAGTGTAAAAATATATTTTAATACCAGAAATACTTTAAAAAAATAGTTTCAGCAATAAATATTTGAAAAAAGAAAATACTACCAGAAGTAAAAATCTTGTCAGCATTAAATAACCCATTGAGGTTAATATGCTATAAAAGAAACCAAACCAAACTATATATTTTTGAAAAAAAATATTACCAGCTATATATTTCTGAAAAAATAACAGCTATACTGTTATATTGCAACGCACCTATTCTATAGTTAATAGACTCTCCCACCTATTTAAGTAGTAGTAATAATAGCAACGAGTCAGTCGCGAAGTCGCTCAGTGAGTTGTTCAGTCAGTCGATGCCGGACAACAGTTAGTCGGATACTAAAGTATCAGCGACCACGACTAGATTTCTCTGCGTCATACTTATTATATGAAGTTCCTAACTAAAAAGGAACAGGGTTCAAGAAGACAGAAGATGGCGATTGACACTGCATTTATATTTTTAAAGATTGTGGTTATCAGGGAAACAAGAAATTGGAAGGGAGTTCAACAAGTAGAGTGGCTGCAACTGCTAGTTCAACAATAAAACGGTATGACCTAGTTGCCAATCTAGTAGCATGCTTAAACTCTTGGAGCTGACTATTTTCCCAGCACCTTTAGTAAGATCATGAATATGAATTCCACTTGAGGTCTGGAGTGAACCCAAAAAAACGTAAAAAGCAAAGAACCTCATTGAGATTGCAACCGTTCTTCAGATTCTTTCGGTCAGCATGAAACGATACTAGCTTCGTTTTTGAAGTATTAAAATGACAAGCCAGTTTTTTATTTCTTTGAGATGTTGGAGTTAGTTCAGACGGGAGATCAACTGCAAGGCTTCAACCATCTCGGTTTTTGGTAAGTGCGTCCATAAGCTGTGGTATGATCTTTGTAAATGCTTACTACTAATCTAAGAATGTTCCTAGTCAGATCATTTGTAAAACTCAGAAAGAGAGTAGGACCAAAGGGAAATTGATTCGTTTTCTACGGCTTATCAACTCATTGCAGGTTATTTAAAACCAGAAAATATTTTTAGATTGTAAGAATTTTGGGGAGAGATAATAATGGTTTAGTGTTATTAATTAACCCATAGCTGGAGGAGAAGGGTATTTTCCAAGGGTATTTTGGCGTAAGTGAATATAACAAACCGACTGCAATTGAAATTCGGCTCGCTGTTTAAATGTCCGAGACATTACCCATCACAACTTCCGCACATCTAAGCTTTACAGCACCTGGTATTCCTAAGCGGTCACCTATCTAGGTACTGACCAGGTTCGACGTTGCTTAACTTCGGTGATCGTACGGAAACCGGTGTTTCAACGTGATACGGCCGTAAGTCCCCGAATAGACATACTTTCGGATACCTGCATTGGTCTCATATGCTCTCAGAAGACAGCATATTCAAAATAGGAATTGTTCTATTTGTATTAGGTTGGCGCAAAAATAATGACGTAATAATGCCTTTTTTTGACGTATTTTTAACGGCAAAAAACGACATTCTTACGTCAATATTTTTGCACCAGCCTAATAGATTAATAGATGTTTATCGTCTTTATCGTTGAAATGTATTTATTTTTGATATTTCTGTTTCATCGTAAAATATATCTTTTTTTTTTTGTTGCTTGAGATTTTCAGATTGTGTGTCTGTGTTCTTCTGAAACTGAGGATATAAGAAGTGTTGAATCCTCAGTACAGAAAAGAAACCGACGAACAGAGTTCGAATTTTAACGAAGTCTGTTTGTGTTCAATTCGTACTTTACTTTTAAAAAAAACACTTCTTGCTAGTTAACTAGAATAAGTCTTTTCAGTACTATATCACTATGTTGGAAAATAGTTAATCTGACCGAGTTTTAGTGACTACAAAGATCGTTTGCATGAACATTTATGCAATGAACTTTCCTATAATTTCTGCAGTGTCCAGCTAAAATCATGAAAATCCTGTTCTACCCATTGTCAACCTTGATACGTTATTCTCATCATATGTATGTTTTTTACGGTTTTTTTTTAATTCTTAAATCTTTCGTTTACTGTTCCAATTGCATTCACTCATTGATCGATGTCATTCATCAGCCATTGTTATCGTTCAGTTCATTCACCCATTTCAGTTAGGGTATTTGGGGTGGGCAACGATTAACTCCAAACTCACTAATCATTCCATCATCTCTAAACTCACATCACTCACACGTCTTTCGTTCCCTCATTCATACAAGTCAATATAGGGGCACAACATCACCCAAGAGCAGAGGAAGAGCAAGCAACGGGTGCCAACGCTCGACGCCTGTCGAATTCTACGCCTCGTGATGGGTACATGTTTAAGCGGGTACATGTTTAAGCCAGGGATCACAGTATGTGTCGAAAAGTGGTCGATTGGTAAATTCCTTTTGTCTAAATTATTCACAAAACAGACGAAAAATTCCGATGATGAAAATAATCAAAATAAAGCTTTTTAACTTGGAGTTCCCACGTGTACATTTGTCTTTGAAAATGATGAACACTTCACTATTTGTCTAAAGATAAACAACACTCTGAAGATGACATTATGCTATGTCGAAAGTAATCGGAAGAAAATAATATGTATCAACACGGTAATTTTCTCTCTTCCTTTAACAATGACAGTAAAATGCTTGTCCATGAATATGAAAGGATCCAATTGAAAATAAGCAGACAAAACTTGTCTGAATTATTCAAAAAATATCATATCTATATATATATATATATATATATATATATATATATATATATATATATAAACCACTCTGATGATGCGAGCCGAAATATTAAATCGAGGAACAGCATAATAAAAAAGATATCCAAATGTTGGACTGATTCTGTCTTTATTTTCTCCCAAACTAAAGCCACTATACGAAGCTTAGAACGGGTCATGATCAGACATAATAGACTTTCGCTGTGTGTTATATTTAACAATATATATTTGAAATATATATATATATATATATATATATATATATATATATAAATAAAAAAGACGACTTCATTATATATACCTTAAAGGATTCCCTTTCAGCCAACACATTTTCAAAAGATGGACGTTGGCACAGTTATACAAAACTACAGACACATTTACAAAAATAGCGAATAACGAAATGAAATTGTAACATGATTAAAACAAATTGGATGGCTAAATTGCTCCAGCCAGTATCCGATCATTTTTTTCCACCCATAATTTTTCTGATCCTTTTAGGTTTTCGAATTTTATTAGAAATTTAGAAATCAGCTCAGAAAATAAACAGATGTATACAAATATTCCTCTTAAGGACAACATACATATATCTTCTGATGTTCTTTATAGAGGTAATTTGGGTCCCGCTAATATTCCTGAAAACTTGTTTTTGGAATGCATGCGTCTAACGACTGAGGTTGTTGAGTTCAGTTTCGACAAAATTATGTACGTCCGGACTGATGGGGCCTCAATGGGTAGTCCTTAGGGCCCCATACTTGCTAATATTTTCGAAATATTTCATGTGGAACATTTATTCGAAAAGTTCCGTAAACCCTATTTTTATATGCGTTATGTTGACGAAACATTTCCATTTTTGCATTTTTGATTCTGCCAACGACGCCACGTCCTTTTTTTGCAGAACTCAATTCTTTCATCTGTCTCTTCAATTTACTATGGTTGTTAAGAGCAATGTTACGTTTGCCCTTTTTAGATATTTTCGTAGAACGCAAGGATTGTGCTTTAGTCACCAGCATTTTTCGTAAACCTATTTTCCGTTCAGAGGCTTATTTTGTACTCTTTTTGGAACCTTTTATTATCTGCTTTTTATCGTCGCTTTGTTTTCAATTAAAATCTATTTTCATCTTGTTTCAATCTTCCCTCCTTGTTCGCTATTTCTGCAATTGTGTCTACATTATTTTATTCTATTTGATCAACGTCCATCTTTTGATAAAGTGTTGCCCTTTTTAGATGTTTTCGTAGAACGGAAGGATGGTGCTTCTGTCACAAGTATTTTTCGAAAAACCTACGTTCACAGGCTTATATAAAAATTGCGATTATTTCGTTCCCAAGACTAGAAAAATTTGTCTGCTTTGTCCATGGTGCTTCAATGACTTGTTCACCAAGCATTTTAAACGGAGATGGTTTTCCTGTTAATGCCATAAAACGTGTTATCTATCGTAAAGTCAGGCGTTTTAAAGAACCAGTAGTTTTAGCACCCAGCCGCTGACCAACTTACTTAAATTGCTATAGTTAAGCAGGAAGTGTCAGTTACTTGATGATAGGATTTCGACTTGCGTTACTTCGTGCTATAACACAGTTAAGTGGCGCACTGTCTTTCTGACTAGATCTGTGTTTCCATCCATCAATAAAGATCGATTATACCATTTTCAGAATAGCTATGTTATATACAAATTTAAATGTCGTTGTGATGCGGTATATATAGGACGAACCAATAAAAAGTTGCAAACTCGTATTACGCAGAACATGCCTGCTTATTTACGACAGAGTCAGAGTCGTTTGAGAAACGCCCACTCTGTTCACGACTCGTCGATTGGACAACATTTATTAAACAATCCAGACTGTGCCGCCGAATGTGACAGATTTTTCTTTCTTTTACATAGAGATCGCTTTGTTCGTCACCTTAGAGTTCTCGAAGCTGTGTGCATCAAAATTCATCAGCCTGGCCTATACAAGTAGAAAGATCGGTTTATTCGTTCCTTGTATTTTTGTTTAGGGTAATATGAGCAAACAAATCATATTTTATACTCTTTTTGGAACCTTTTATTATCTGCTTTTAATCGTCAGTTTGTTTCCAATTAAAATCTATATTCATCTGTTCCAGTCTTCCCACCTTGTTCGATATTTCTGCAATTGTGTCTACATTATTTTATTCTATTCGGTAAACGAACATCTTTTGATAAAGTGTTGCCATTTTAGATATTCTTGTAGAACGGAAGGATGGTACTTTTGTCACCAGTATTTTTCGAAAACCTACGTTCACAGGCTTATATACAAATTGGGATTATTTCGTTCCTAAGACCAGAAAGATTTGTCTGTTATCTACTTTAGTCCATCGTGCTTCAATGACTTGTTCACCAAGCATTTTAAACGGAGATGGTTTTCCTGTTAATGCCATAAAGCGTGTTATCTATCGTAAAGCCAGGCGTTTTAAAGAACCAGTAGTTTTAGCACCCAGCCGGTGACCAATTTACTTAAATTGCTATAGTTAAGCAGGAAGTGTCAGTTACTTGATGATAGGATTTCGGCCTGCGTTACTTCGTGTTATAACGCTGTTAAGTTGCTTTCTGTCTTTCAGACTAGATCTGTGTTTCCATCTTTTAATAAAGATTAGTTGTCCTATTTTCAAAACAGTTCTGTTGTTTACAAATATAAATGCCAGTGTGATGCGGAATATATAAGACGGACCAATCAAAGATTGGAAACCCGTATTACGAAACACGTGCCTGCCTATTTACAATCCAGCAGTCGGAATGGTTCACTAAGTACCACCCAATTTCTACACGACTCTCGTCCATTGGTCAATACTTAGATTGTGCCACTGAATATGATGACATTTTTTTCTCTTTAACATAGAGTTCGCTCTATCCAGCGCCTTCACTTCTCGAAGCTGTACATATCAAATTATATCAGTCCAGCCTATAAAAACAAAAGTATCATTTCATTTGATCCTTGTGTTTGTTAAGAGGAGGAGGAGTAAACTTTTTTCCATTTTATACTCTTTTCGAATCTTTTAATATCTGTTTGTGATCGTCAATTATTTACATTTAAAATTTGTTTTAATCATGTTCCAATTTCTTCTCCTCGTTCGCTATTTTTGTCATTGTGTCTGTAGTTTTGTTTAATAGCGCCAACGCCCACCTTTTGAAAAAGTGTTGGCTGAACGGGAATCCTTCGAGGTATATATAATGACATCGTCTTTTTTAAATCTGTTTTCTTTTTCTCTGGGTTCAAGACTTTATTTGTATATTTATATATATATATATATATATATATATATATATATATATATATATGTGTGTGTGTGTGTGTGTCTGTGTATTTAGACAGCAAATTCTTTTTTCGGCATGTCTTATTGAATAAATTACAGATATTATGTCTGCTAATTTTTAATAAAATCCGTTCATACTCACGAAAAACCTTCCGTGTATTGATGTCAAAAGATGAGAGAAGTGTAATATGGCTGTTTAAATTTCTTTTATTTTCATTACCCAGTTACTTTCGATCTTTTCCCAAGATCATCTTCAGGGGTGCAAGTGGTACAAAACTATGTGTTGTTGATTAGTATAAGTTTTTATACAAAGATGTGCATTGTAATCCATTATCATAATTTTTTCATTATGCTTTTAAATGCAAAA